GGAGAGGAGAGGAGAGGAGAGCCCTGCCTAGCATGGAAGGATGAGGCAGGAGACTCAAGAGTTCAAGGCCAGCCTAGGCTGCATAGCCTGACTGTCTCAAAAATACTTGCCTGGCCAAAAGATGGGCTAGATCATCTTCTGATTCCTTTACTTCTAAGATCTGTAATTCCCAAACCTCTCCAAAGAGAGTCTTCTTTCTACCACCCCACAGAACAGCTTCAAAGGCCAAAGCAAAATCAAACTCCTGACAAAAGGGAACCAAGAAAATCAGCCGCTCTTCCAAAGAACTCCACACTACTGACTTTGAATGCACTGTGAAAATTATTCCAAGTGGGTTTTTCTCACTTAAACTGACTTCTGGGCAAAAGTCAAAAGATGCAAATAAGGATCCTACAACATCTTCCCTCACCAAATCCGCTCTCCCTATGGCTGGCTATGTTCCACCTCTACTCCCCCCCACCCCAGGAAGGTCCCTTGTAAATTTCTGTTCCCAGTCTCCTCTGAGAGCAGAGACCAAAGAAACAACCCCGGCCCTTGACTCCAGATTCCAAATAGTCGGTAGCACAGAGCAGAGACAGGACAATAGACTCATGGCCCAGGCACAGCCTGTCCCTCTGGTCAGGTCCCTTACTCTTGAGTCTCGCCTTTCCCATCTACAGAATGGGAATGTAAGCCCTCCTCCGGAGGCTGTGGAAGACCCACTAGTATATTCTGGCTCCTCTTTCCATCCCTCCCCGTTTCCCTTATTAACGGCTGAGTCAAGCTTATTCTCTGCTCACCTGACCACAAGTACTCTTTCTTTAAATTCCCTTCGCAGAGGTAGTGGATGATCAAGAACACGCCGGGCTCGGGAGTCCTCCCGTTTCACACACTCTTATCATTTCCACCCACCCCATCCCGCAAAAAGGAAAACGGAGCAGCCTCCGGATGCAGCCACCTGCCCAGGAGCCCCACTCCGGGTTAAACCGGGAGCAGACTCTGCTACTGTTATTCCTGGGGGTTAATGACAAGACCTATCACTCTGTGGGGTGACCGTCTCCCAGCGGTTGCCGGTGCAAGTCCCGGGGCGGCCCAGACGACTTCCAATGCACATTCCTGGTTCAATAATCCCCAGGCACAAAACAGTTTCCCAACACGGGAAAGAAAAGGAAGAGTTGTGAAGTTTCTGGAGTCTCACTTTTTCGCGGGGACCAAGGGTCACGACGCCGTGACCCCGGGTGGGCTGCAAGGCCTGGCGGACCCGGACGGGAAGGGCCCAGCAGCCCGGGTGGGAGCCGGGGCAGGCGCGGGGCGCAGGCGCACTCACCGTCCGTGCTTCTCTTCGCCTCCCGGTAGCGCTCCCACAGGTAGTGCTTCATGTCCACGGCGGACCCCGACGCCGAGCACAGGGACCGAGCGAGGCCCGCGCGTGGCCGCCCCCGGGCCGCAGCCCCACCGGCGCTCCGCAGC